TGTTGTTGTTGTTGTTGTTTTATTAATATGCCGCATTTCTCCCAACAAAGGACCCAAAACGGCTCACAAGATTAAAATTCACACAGTTTAAAAACACAATAAGTGAAATATTAAAAGATAAATTAAACAATAAATGATTTAAAGTACAATTAAAAAATTAAAACATAAAAACATAAAAGAGTTTAAAGTTCCTGCTGAAATAGGGTTCAGGGCTTCTGTTATAATTGTTAAAAGCCTTCCTGAAGAGATGGGTCTTTTGCTTTTTTATAGCACTCCTATAGCTGGCAGCAGTATTTTACATTGACTTATTGTCTTCTTTTTAGAGGAAGCGAGCATCCAGGAACCACAGCAGCCTGCTAGTATCCAGAAGCCACCACCTGTGGTAAGCTCTTGGCTTTGCCTATATTAGGATAAAAAGATAGGTCTTCCGCAGCACTTTCAGTGCCCTTAACAGTCAGTACAGTGCCCAGTCATAAATGCCCAAGTGTAACTGAACCTATTTCATGATATCACTGCTTGAAAAGTTATTTTCTTTGGATTTTAACTTTGAGAATTACCAAACAAGTGTCTGAAAATAGCTTGGTATTTCTCCTTGCAGCTGCACAACTCAGTGTAGTCTTGAGTAGAGGACTCACTGAGAGGTGCTTTAATGTGTCTGCCTTGGCTTATTCTTTTGACCTGGTGTTTCCAGAACCACCTTTCTTCGTAGTGATGGACCACTTTAATAATTTCATGCAGTCAAGTCAATTCTGACTTATGACAACTCTTTCCAGGATTTTCTAGGTAGAGAATACACACAAGTGGCTTACGATTCCCTTCTTCTGGGGGCATCCTGGGACGGACTCTGCACCTTACCCAAGGCTCTGTAAGCTGGCTTCTCTCTCAGGAGGCACAATGGGGAATGGAACTCCCAACCTCTGGCTCCACAGCCAGGTACCTCAACTACTGAGCTGTCCAGCCAGCTGACAGACCTATTAATTAGCTTAAGGTCATCATAGGAAAGAAAAGATAATCCCGTGCTGTTGGTAGAGATGTAAATTGAGTTAATTTAATGGCTAAACTAGCTGAGAGTTCTTTTAGGCAGGAGATTCGCAACTTGCAGCTCAATCTAGTCTTATGTGGCCCTCAAGCTAATTTTAAAATCTATTTGTAAGAGATCTGTTCAGGCCTCCACAAGACCAATCTATCAGATCCTAATCAGATCTTCCTATTAGCGCTGGCTCCATCCATAGTTGCCTCAAGCCCTAAATGCTACCAGCTTATGGCATCTGACAGTTTACCTCTTAGAGAACGTGGTCTTTGACATTGGAAGGTTGTCCCCACCACCACCACTAAATTTTAGGCACTAAGACTGACACAACTGCCTTCTACCATTTTATTCATTTGGGAACTGAATATTCTTGGGGGCAGGGGGGCATGCGGCTGTTGTTGAACTTTAAAGGATGTTGTTATTTTTTCTCTTTTTAGACGAACCATAGCGGGCCAAGTTACACAGGAGTCCCCAAAGTAGTAGAATTGCTCATGTCTCAACCGCAGTCATCGATGCCCATTACGACCCTGCTTGTGAAGAATCCATTGGCGTCCACTCACATCTTCAAACAAGCCTGTCACCTCTGCTATCCCAAAACAGGTTATCTGCTCATAGTGATGCAGTCCAAAACCTTTTGGCAAAGTGGGCTCTTTTTAATCTTTTCCTTCCCTTTGTAGGCCCCAAGGCTGGTGATTATACTTATCGAGAAGGCCTGGAACACAAGTGCAAGCGGGACATACTCTTGGGCAGGCGCCGCAACTCAGAAGATAAAACCTGGAAGAGGATCCGGCCACGGCCAACCAAGACCAATTTTGTGGGATCTTATTATCTGTGTAAAGGTGAGTTGAAAGAGGACAAAGATGGAATGGAGTGGGTACTGTTTGAAGGAGCAAGATTTAGCACGAGGTGGGATGTGTTATCTAGCACCAACCCATGGTTTTGAAACAACCCTCTTCTTTATTACAATGATCCAGTAGAATGTGTCAGTTGATTTGATCTGTTACTGCCAGTTCCTCCTTCACCATACCCCATGAACATCTGTTCTAGAAGTCTAAAAGTCCCTCTGGAGCCACTTCTTGGTTGGTGCTAAGGGCTGCCCTCTGGAAGGGAAAGAAGAAAATTCCATCACTTTGGTAGCAGCAGCACAACACTGGTTTGATTTCCCCTCCCCCCCGGTTAATATTTGTAAGGATTTATGTACCATCCTTCAATCAAATTCCTGAGGTAAATTAATTAAATTCCAAAAATAAAAATAAAAATGTATGGAAATACACTAAAAGCAGTAAAATTGATAAGATAAACATAAACATGGCTGGTCAGGATAAACTGGATGAGTTCTGCTAAAATTCTTGGGAAAACAAAGTATTTATTTGGTTTTGTATTTGCATCAGAGTAGGCAGCGGGTGAACCTGGAAGAGAGTCCTGTTTATTTGGGTGTTGCCACTGAAGAGGCCTGGTAACATACCTTCATAGTTTGAAGTGTTATGGGAGTCATGAGAAGGTCTTATGACTTAGAGTGTTGTGTCCAGACAGGGGTATGTTGGGAGTGGCATTTTAAAAAGATTTGCAGTGTCAGGATAAAAGACAGAGAGTGCTGTAAGACTGCTTATAGGCATTCTGTTATTTTGTTAAGCCACTCGCTTTTAACCAGTGTTCTAAGTAAGCATGGTTTTTTCAAAAATCATGAGGAATATTTCAATTAGAAATGAACTGAGGGTGTCTTTCAAGATTTCCCCCAAAACAGTGTTTGTCAGTTATGACCTTTCCATGCAGTATGTAGCTAGAGGAAAGAGTGTTGGGTGGGAGGGAGTAAAAAGATGAAGAAGAAAGGGAGGGTAGCAGGAATGTCATATTTCCTTGAATGGTAGCACAGGTGTTTGTCAGCCAGCTCTGTGGATAATGCTTGGCTTCAGCAGTCCTTGGGTCTGAGGCATTGTGGGAGGCCTGGCTAAGGTGATTTTTTGGGGTCCATGGGAGACTCTCATACAGTGCTTTGTCACCAAGGACCCCTGAAGCCATGCCTTGTCTACATGGCTTGTGGAGAAGCAGGTAAGTGGCAGTTCTGAAGAAGACCAAGCATGCATGTGACAGGTTGTTGTGCATGCAGAGGGGACAAATAGGATACTAGCCAGTAAATACAGTGGTGCCTCGCATTACGACATTAATTCGTTCCAGCGAAATCGCTGTAGAAGGAAAACGTAATGCGAAATTAAAAAGCCCATAGAAACGCATTAAAACCTGATTAATGCGTTCCTAGGGGCTTGAAACTCACCGTCCAGCGAAGATCCTCCATAGGGCGGCCATTTTCACTGGCTGTGCAGCGAGGAATCCATCCCAGAATAGAGCGGGGAGCCATTTATTTTTAACCCGACGGCCATTTTGAAAGTGCTGATCAGTTGTTTTAAAATCGTCATTTTGCAAGAATCGGTTCCCGAAGCAGGGAACCGATCATCACAAAGCGAAATTCCCCCATTGAAACCATCGTAAAGCAATCGCTTTTGCGATCGCAAAAAGTTTGTTGTAATGCGGTTTCGTTGTTAAACGGGGTGCCCGTCTTGCGAGGCACCACTGTAGTGATATACATATGTGTCCTTCCATCTCTGGTGGTGGAAATACTCCATGTTCCACTGTGTAAATGCAGTCTCTTCATCTGCTTCTCATGGTAAAGTTTTAATTCTGTAATATTTGAAAGGGACATCTCTGTATGGAGTATACTGTGCCACTGTCTTTTGTAACAAGCTTTTCTGCTCCCCCTGCCCTGTTAGGTCCCGCCCATGACATTGTGCTGCCTGAAACTAACAGGAAATAGTCCCGCTACCCACTTATCTTGCATATTACCCAAGCCAGTGAAGTAGTTTTGGCCCTTGAGGTACAAAATCTTGCAAATTCATCTCTCCATATCTGGGAATAAAAATAAATCAAGTAAAACTATTTGGAAAATTTTTCATTGTCATCTCAAACTCATAGGCTTAAGGCAAGCACTTCACTTTGCATACTGTTAAGAGTTGAGCCTACAAAGCCTGAATAAAGATGATCAGGGGCATGTTATTAGCAAGAAAGGTTACATCAAGACATGGCATCATAAGCTCTGTTGATTCTTTTTAACTGTTTATGAAGCTTGGGGTTGTGGGGAAAGAAGGAAACAGAATAAGGGTAGCAAGAGAGCTTGGTTCTGATCCCAGCCTCCACGCTTTGTGTGGTGGTGTGATGTTTGTTGCTTTGTAGATATGCTTAACAAGCAGGACTGTAAGTACGGGGATAACTGCACCTTCGCGTACCACCAGGAGGAGATCGACGTGTGGACAGAGGAGCGGAAGGGGACCCTTAATCGTGACCTTCTCTTTGACCCACTGGCTGGGGTCAAACGAGGCAGCCTGACAATTACAAAAATCTTGAAGGAACACCAGGGCATATTCACGTTTCTCTGTGAGGTATGATATAGAAAGTGCGGAAGATGTCCTTCCATTGCATTACTCTTTTTCTGTTCAAACAGCCCACTAGAAACCATTGGGCTGCTTTCTCTAGAATACTGTCCGTTGCCAGCTTTAGGCACTTCTGCTTTTGGAGGATAATGCAAAAAATTAATTTTTCTCTCCCATTTTGGGTTGCATTCTGGAGTCTGCTTGTTTGTTGCAGCCGGTTTCACATACTTCTGTAGCCAGTGATGGTCTTGCCTCTGAAAATGGCCAATAAAGCTGAGGAACACAGAATACAAAACATCACTGTCTTTCATTTGTTCATTGGCATATAATTAGGATAAGCTTCTTGTTCTCTCCTACTGACTGTGCAGAGAATCATTGTATTCTAGTGAATAGAGTGTTTGAAGTCCTTGATCCTGGGAGGACAAGGCTCATTGACTTGATGAGAGACCTTGGGCAAATTGCAGCTTCTTTGGCTTAGTACCTCATCTTTTTAATGACCTCTGTTCACAAGGTGGGCACAAGAAGGACTGAGGTGTATGGAAGGAAAGGTTGTGTTGTATTGTATTGTATTGAAATTGCTTATAGTAATTATTGCTTTTCAGTAACAACTCAAAGAGACCTAAGAATGTGAATTCCATTTCTGTATGTGCATTTGCAGATCTGCTTTGACAGCAAACCCCGGATAATCAGCAAAGGGACCAAGGACTCTCCAGCAGTGTGTTCAAATTTAGCTGCAAAACACAGCTTTTATGATAATAAGTAAGTGGGCATGTTTTAGACCAATAGTATGTTCTAAGAAAGACCCATTCTTTTGGCAGTGCAAGGAGTAATCCACTAGAATTGGTTAATCTTATCACTATCCATATCAGGAGTCAGGAAACATGTGACACTGAAAGTTTTCATTGGATCTGGAGTCCTATTAGAGTCTTGGTTCCTGCTTCCAACCAGGTCAGTGCCTCCTCTCCAGCTCTGTCTGTCTTCCTCTCCATTTTCGCCATCCAATTTCATCCAGTTCTTACTTCCTTTTGCCTTTCCTCTAGTTCTATTTCCTTAACAGTTTTTCTGGTAGTTGTCATCTGTTCTGTAAAAGGAAGGAAGAACCCTCTTTTTCTTGCTCTTATTCTTCCTCCATTACTCTCAGATGGCTTTGACTGGTTGCCAGATCTGGCAGAAGTGATGAGACAATGCCTGCCAAAACTGACAGAGCAAAGGCCTGCATGAAGACTGGAAAACTCAACTCTGCCTTGCCTTTGCTTCACATCAGCTGGGCGAGGAGCTTGAAGCTTCATGGGCCTCTGATAAATGCTCTCAGTCTCCGTCAATGCCCCATTAGTGCCAGGCACTATTCTGGGTGGTTAACAGATAGCGTAATCAAACAGTAATGATGCAAAAAACAACAGGTAAAGAATCAGAGGGATAAAAACAGAACAACTGTCATAAGCCTCAAGCAGTGCAGCGTTAACTGTTTGCCCAAACCTCCCTTCTTTGTGTAGAGAGCATATTATAATACCATCTCAATTTCAAGTCCCTCCACAGAACCTGACATCTATAAAGTTCCATAGTTCATAGCATATACCACCCATGATACTATCTCCTACTCAGCCAAAGCTGTCGCCCCTTGTGTTTCCTATAGGTCAGACACTGGGAAGCAGATTCCCTCTCTAGGGTAAATGTGGAGGTAGCTACATTTGAAGGCTTACAACTGTTTGGACAGAGAGAGAGCCTTTTAAATGTTTTAGCTGGGAACAAAGGCAGCTGACAGAAGGAGCCACAACTTCCTCGACTAAGCCCTTTTCCTGCTTATAAGCTACTCAAGAGATTTTTGCTCCTTCAGGCCTTCATGGGCTGTTTTCCTTTCAGAGCTCAGTCACCCCCTCCCTAGAAAAGGCTCCTCCTATGGAGGAAAGTGCCACTTGGGACTCAAGTCTCAAACAGGGAGGATGCTTTGCCTTTAGAGGTGGGTCCTCCAAAGAGTTTCTGAAAGTTAATTCAATTATTCTTTAGCCTCCCACGGAATAGAATCCTTCCCTCTTCTAATGCACATTCCCACCAAACCAGGTTCTCATGACTTAGGTACTTCAGTGCCTCCTGCCCCTCAGGGCAGTTGAGCCAGTTCCACCTGAAGAATGCTTCTCTGAAGTGTACTCCGTCTTCTGCTGGTGCCCAGAGGGAGAGAGGGCAACTGATGTTTTCAGAGAGCCTCTGTATGATCCAAAAAGCCCTTCTTAAGCCTCAGAAGTCCTTCTGATCTCACAGAGGCATATCTTCATGTGCCCATAGCCGCCATGTCAGGGAGTTCTTCCGTTTCGCTACACCAAAGAACTTGTTTTGTTCAGGGCAACTACCTTCAGTTGCATATTTGTCCCTATTTGGGCAGCCTCTTTGTGGGAGCACCCTCCCTGGGCAAGGTTGACAGGGATATTTTTCAGTCACTGAAGTGCTTACATGGCCATGGTTTCTTCAGAGTCACCTCTCTTCATTTCAACACCTCATCCCTCTGTGTGCTAGAATCAGTACTCAGGAGATTATTCCCAGTTAGAATTTCTTCCATTCTTTTAGCAAGGTAGGGGTGGGCTGCTCTTTCCAAATCCCTTCCTCTCATATCCCTGATACACATCCTGGGTCATTTAATCTCAACAGTCGGTGTTGTTCCATGGGCCAAATTTTACACCAAGGCCTCCTCTTTCCTCTCACTTCCCCATCACTTACGTGCTTATTGTGCCAGTTTCTTTTCCTGAGCAGGTGAAACTTTCCCCTCAGGTGGAGTGCTTGCAAAGTCAGCGTTTCCAGAGGTCCTCCCTTTGTGATTCAGAGTGAGCTCCTGGTTACATTAAATGCAGCCCTGTCAGTGCAAGGAGCCCTTTGCTAAGGCCACATTGTTCAAGGCTCCTGGTCTCCTTCAAAAGCCATCAGGCAGGCAGTCTTGCTCTACAACACCTCTTCCCCCACCTCCTGAGGGACCAACCTTATGTCCTGCTGAAAATTGACAGTGCCACATCAAGATATTACTCCATCTTATGAAGGGGGATCCAGGTCCTGGTGTCTAAAGAAAGCATCCTACTATTCTGCTGGGGAGAACACAATTTGTCTTCCTTCTGCTCTGCATCTCCAGGGATCCCTCACATGAGCTGACTTCTTCAGCAGGATGCAGCTACTCCCAGGGGAATGGAGTCTTAATGTTGATGGCATTCCCCAAATAGGCACCATCTTCCTAGTGAATAAAAAGCTTTCTTCATCTGCTATCACTGTCTTTCTCTGGAGGAAATCTTACTTTTCCACTTCTGAAATTGGGTGCAGAGGAAGAATTTGCAGTTATGTTGCTCCTTTTCCTCTGTCAGGCTTCCGAGTCTCCTCTGGTGAATTAGTACCTATCTACTACCTTCCATCTCTCCTTCTAGTTTTCTGTCCTGTACTGCAGCTAGGAAAAGAGATTGCTGAACGAGGACGGATGAGTTCAGTGAAAATTCTTCCAGTACATATATGTTTCCTGATCTGAATGGTGATGGGGTTTATCCATTCTAGTGGATTCCTCCTTTGTGTCTATGAGAATGGATCCCTACGTTGAGTGCCCCATAAACTGTTCCTGATACCTATCAGCTGAATAGCTCTTGCTGGCAAGCACAATTTAGGATGCCAGGGTTTTTCCCCCCTTTTAAAGTCCTGAATAGTGAGACCAGGTTTTTTGAAGGATTGTTTTTTCAGCTGTATGAGCTTACTTGAGTATTAAGGTCAGGACTGGAAAAATCTGTGGCTAGATGTTGATGCGTGAATATAACCAAGATGCCTCACCAGTGGCTGGTCTCAAGGAAATTGCAGCTGAGTAACAGCTGGAACACAACAGTTCTGCAGCCCAGCTATACATAGCATGACATTTGTATGATGGTGCTGCTGATGATATATTCATTTCCTTCTGGCAGGTGTCTAGTTCATATTGTTCGTTCCACCTCCTTGAAATACTCTAAGATCCGTCAATTCCAGGAGCACTTTCAGTTTGACGTGTGCCGACATGAAGTACGCTATGGCTGCTTGCGTGAAGATAGCTGCCATTTTGCTCACAGTTTCATAGAGCTTAAAGTTTGGTTGCTCCAGCAGTATTCTGGTGAGTTAGTTGCCTCAGCCTATGGGCAAGAGGAAGAAGGTTTGAAAGATATTTGAAAAGATGCTGGAATGTCTGCCCCCCCCAACTCATTCCATAGGGTTCAGCATATCAATCTTGTTTCACTGAGTGGAAATCTCCTCCTGGCAGTTAAGGAAGTGTAGCAAAGGGAATATCATTTTATGTTATACTAGTCATAAAATGGGCTGTGTCTCACAGCACAATCCTATATATGTTTGTTTAGAAGAATTGTTTAGTAGCACATTAAATCCTACATATATGGTGAATTGGGTGTGACTATTCTCAACTTTTTAAAGAAGCAAGTTTTAAACCAATGTCTAAATGTGACCACCTGGCTTAGCAAGAGGAGAGACTGCACATGTTGAGTCCTGTTATGCTACCTCTTCAACATCTGCAGAGATCAGCAGAATGAATAATGCAATTTGCCCCTTTCATGTCCCTTATACTGTGAGCCAGTGGCATATTTGACCATTGAGCAGAATATCTATTTGATCTGCATTTCCATCCTTATTGGACCAGGTATGACTTATACCTGAGAATGCCTCTGTGAGGGTTTGCATGTGAGCTAAAGGGTGAGTCAGAGGTCTGTTCTGAGGCTTCTACCCATAAAGGTTTGGACTGCCCCCTGCTTTGTAGCAGAACTTGGAAAAGTTTCATTTTTGGACTACAGTTCCTTAGCCAGCTTGACTTATGTCACTTGTTCAAGGTTTAAGGTTTTGACCTCAGTCCTAAGAACAGTCCTGTACTGGTTCATGAATCCTTTTGGACTCTGTGTGATTTTGCTTGTTTAGCGACTAAGTTGTTACCAATTGCTTCAGAGAAGGCAAGTTTGACCATTCACCAGCCAGCTTGATGTAGGTGGAATTTCCTTTATATCATTAAATAATTCACTTTTTAATTTCATGTCATTTAAGCACCGTTTTAGTCATTGCACATAATGATGGGGGCTTTGCTACTCTCTTAGGTATCAGCTTGTCTCTTCCAATATCTTTTGGAAGGTTGTTGGTACCCATTGTAAGATGGTTACTGCAGATGTTTAATTCCTGTACAAGAAATATCCACATGCCATGAATATTTGATGCTTTGTTGGCAGCCAGGACAAAATTGTGAAAGATGAAGTTGCTTTATACTGAGTCAGGTGTTGATGCATCTGACGCAGTTGTCAGCTCATACTGTCAGCAGCTTTTCAGCTCTATTTGGAGATATCTATTGTTCCCTAGTCATCTCCTCTCCAAATACAGGGGTGCCTACTTACAACCATTTCAAGGTATGACCAGCTCCGGTCATAAAATTTTGTTTCTACTTGCAACCGGAGCTTCCACTTATGAACAGAAAAAGGCAGGGGAAAAAGGTGGGAAATTCAAATTTCTAACTGTAGGTGGCGACGAGACTGCTTCTTTGTAGCTCTTTTGCCCCAGCAGTTAGAGAGTGTGCATGGGAGGAGGCTTGGGACTGCCTCCTTCTGCTTCTGAGAGTGTGTGTGTGTTTGCAGGGAGGCTTCAGGCTGCCTTGTAAGGGAAGGAGCTGTTTTCTGCTTTTTAAAAACTCTTCTGGGTGTTTTTGCAGAGTGGTTTTAAGCTGGGGGGGTTATGTTTCTGTGCTGTGACTGGTCTTGAGGGGTTTGTTTATTTTTTGGTGTTTTCCCCCTCATTTCCAATTGGTCTTGGGTTTTTTTTGTTACTTTTTGGAGTGTTTTTTCCCATTTCCGATGGGTCTTGGGGGGGTTTGTTTTTTGGTTCCCCCCATTTCTGATGGGTTTTGGGGGATTTGGTTGCTTTTGCGGGGTTCCCTATTTCCGATGGGTCTTGCATGCTTCCCTTGCTTTTTCCTTTGTTTTCTTTGCATTTCTGACCTGCCCCCTTTGTTCTCTGTGCATTTCCGATATGCTCCGTTTGTTTTCTGTGCATTTCCAATGGGTCTTGCACGTTTGATTGTTTTTCTCCCCCCCCCCCTTCGGCCGGAAGGGATTAATCACGTTTCCAATGAGTCTTGCAGTGATTTATGTTTCCTGTGGTGAATATTCTATGTAGTGGGCATTTATTCTATAACAAGGAATATTTAAGTGCTATTATGTTGGCAGGGTGTAATTTCATATGCAAAAACTTTAAAGTAGGGTCTCTGGATGAAATGGCTTGAATCTCTTGGTCAATTAACTTTTGTACCATAAAATATGTTTTAAAAACATTTTTTAAAAAAACTGGTGGTTGGAAACTCTTAACAAATGTCTCTTCTGTCATTTAAGGAATGACCCATGAAGACATTGTACAAGAATCAAAAAAATATTGGCAGCAGATGGAAGCGCATACGAGCAAGGCTAGCAGTAGTATGGTAAGGATCTTGAAAGAAGCAATGTTTTTTTGGGGGGGTATTATTCATGCAGGCACCTAGAAGTTGAGTCATGGCAACTGAACTTCTTTCTTATTAGGTTGAAACGTTTTGCTACTCATCCAAGTAGCTTCTTCAGTCTGAGGAGAGTTGGTGGGAGACCCCTGATATGTCCTTCACATTGGTTTCACTTTCCCCTGGTCTGAATAGGCTCACTAGATAGACAAAGGATGGGGGTGAGTGAAAACCCCACTTCTCAGTTCTACTCCACCCATTGTCATGGGTCATTAACAGTCATTAATAGTGTGGTATGTGTGATCCTGATCTTTCTGGGGACAGATGAAAGGGCAGCATGATAAATAGGAGACAAATTGTATCTAAGGCCTCCACCCCTGTTGAGTGAGGGATTTTCTATATGCACATATATAGCCTCCCTTACACCTCTCTCAAGCCACCTATCTTCTAGGACCAAAATGAATACATCTTGGCCATCAAATGAGTGTCCTTTGTCCTTCAAATGAAGGAACACTGCTGATTGTGGTCCTGAGCCATTGCCCCTCCTGAGCCATTCTCCTGTTTAGTGGCTGTTTGGTTTCTCCAATATAGAACTCCGAACACTCCTCTTTGCATTGGACCACATATACTATATTGCTCCTGTTTTGGAGTCCGGTCTTTTGGGTGGACAAGTCTCTCCCTTAGTGTGTTTGAAATGCACAGGTATGTGATGTTTACCAAAAGTCATCTTGAACTTTTCCGACACACCTGCCATGTAAGGAATGACCAAGTTCTTCCATCGGCTCTCGGCCTCAGACTATTCCATTGTCCTGCTGGGTTGAAGTACAAGATGTACTCATTTTGGACTGAGAAGATAGGTGGTTTGAGAGAGGGGCCAGGGAGGCCATACACGTGCATAATAGAAAATCCCTCATTCAACAGGGGTGGAGGCCTTAGATAAAATCTGTCTCTTATTTATCATGCTGCCCTTTCATCTGCACTTAGAAAGATCAGGACCACACCCACCAGAAGGACCACTGTTAAGGACTGTTAACAACCCATGACAATGGATGGAGAAGGACTGCAGAAATGGGATTTCCACACTCCCTCAACATGGAAGTTATATTAAGGATATTAAGAATTAAAAACATGGTTATATGCTCAGGCCTTCCCTCCTGCCAATATTTAACTCTCTCTCTCTTCTTTTCCCCTTTCCTTATTGTTCTTTTATTGTATGTGTTTTAATTGATTGTAATATTGTATGTTCTATGACCAGACCAGATGGGCGGGATACAAATCAAATCAAATCAAATCAAATCAAATCAAATAAATAAATAAATAAATAAATAAATAAATAAATAAATAAATAAATCATCTCCTACAACTCTCCTCAGACTGAAGAAGCTACTTTGGATGAGTAGCAAAACGTTTCAACCTAATAAGAAAGAATTCCAGTTGCTGTGAGTCAACTACCAGATAACCTCACCTGGATGACAGAATCTTCACAGATTTCATGCATGCGCGTTCACTGAATAAAGCAGACAGCATTAGGAGCATCTGCAAGAGTTAGTCAGGCAGCTGTAGCTTATATTTGCTCACATGTATTTCAAGCAGGCGCGAACATTTCCTAATTTTTTTCTGCATGTGGAGAACTTCATGTGCAGTTAACCTGCGGAATTCGCTAGCACAGCATCAACTATGAGGAGTCTTCTGACAGTTAAGTCCTGTCTTGCACAAACATTTCTGGACGGTTGCCAACATTTTAGGACTGTTCCTCTGAAAATGTTAGAGCATGTGATGATAGTGACAAACCTATGTGGTTTTTAAACCAAGAGGATGCATCTCATTGGTAACGTATTATATATAAGAAACAGGGAACTGGCTACAAGATTGATGGACAAGACAGCAGCAAAAGAAAATTAAGTGATTTCAGAGAGGTTCAATGAATCCTTAGAAACAAATCTCAGGCTCTGAATGTGTTCTGTGGGAAAGGCCATATCTAGAAACCTGGCTGAAAACAGAAGAGGACTGCTCCACTTCCTTCCTGCTTCTTCACTTAATTTCATGAACATAATGAGTCTGAAAAACTGATGTCCAGATTACCTGGAACATCAACTATTGGAAATTCCATCAAACACGGTCAATTGTCACAAATTCTAGGTGGTGTGGTCTAACAACACCTAGAAATCCAAGACCAGGGATCAAAGGGAGTTTTTTTATACTGAGATACAGTGGGGTCTTGGCTTGCGAATGGCTTGACTTGCGAACTTTTTGAGTTGCGTACCTCTCCGTCCGCAGGGCCCGGGTGCAGGAGAGCACCGGCAGGCTCCACGCCATGCACGACCTGTCCTTGCGCCGAGGTCCGGGCTGCCCGCCAACCCGCCCCCTGCCTGCTTTCCTTCGGGGCTGTCGAGGGCCACGGGAGCGGGAGCAGCTCAGTTTCCCCGTGCGAGGGTGGATGCTCTCCGGTGCCTCCCCTTCTCCTCCCGCCAAGGCCGCCGCCACCGCCGGGACCTGTGGGCCGCCGCCGGGACCTGAGGTAATCAATGCCCTGACTGACGGCACCCCTTCCCTTCCCTTCCTCAGGGTCCCGCGCCGCCCTATGGAGAGCAGATACGTATCAAATGGTTTTCAATGCATTCCTATGGGAATGCAGATTTTGACCTGCTAACTTTTTGACTTGCGAACTGCCTTCCAATACGGATTAAGTTCGCAAGTCAAGACCCCACTGTAAAGCAGTTAAGTCATGATGGCAATATTCTGTCTACCAGATCAGAGAGGCTCATGCTTCCAAGTACCAGTTGGCAGCAGAACTACAATGTGTGAGGGCAGTTGCTCTCGGGTCCTAGGTGTAGATTTTTCCCTTAAGCATTTGATTGGCCACTGTGGGAAACAGGATGCTGAAGGAGATACGCATTTGGTCTTTTCCAGCAAGGCTGTTCTTATTTTCTTTATATACGTTTTAGAACAAGGGTGGGATCCACTGCAGTGCACTGAACTGCCTGGGTCCTCAACCTCCTGGTGTGCAAAAATACCCTGTGTGCCTTCCCAGAGTTTAAAAATCCTGTGGTTATCTGTGGGGTTCCCAGCCTACTCCACAATACTACCTCCTCTTCTGTGCATGAAGAAGTGGAGCCAGCTTTCAGGCTAATCCTGTGAGATGCAGAAGCTCTTGGCATTACCTGGCTTGCAGAGAGCTGAGTAAGGAGGAGTCCAGAACTGAACTTTGGTACGATCTACCGCCTCTGTTCTAGAGAATAAAGAATGTCCATATAGTGAATAGTGACCCAAGGACAAGTATATATTCAGTCCTACTATAGTATATGATCAGGGTCCTCTCTGCAGCTCCTCTCTATCCTAAGAAGCATATGGAGGGCAACTATGTTAAGGCAAGGATAGTCACACCTGTCACAGATCTGAAGTACATTGGGAAGGATTTCTGACTCCCCCTTATTTAATCTTAGCAGTCATAAAGTACTGTATTTGCTGACGTATAAGATTACTTTTTTGCCCTGAAAACATGCCTCCAAGTGGGGGGGGTCGTCTTATACGCCGGGTGCACTTCAGTTGGGATAGACATAGCTGCCCATAGTAGCCTCCCGATGCCTGCCCACCTCATTCTACATACCGTCCAGTATCTCACGGTATCCAGTGCGTCCGCGGCGAGCATCAGCAGCAAGACAGGGGTGCCAGCCTTTTCGACGTGACCGGCCCGTTCTGCTCAACGGGAAGCAGCGGCGCTCCGCCCCGCCCCTTGTCTACACAGAGCTCACACGTGCGCACTTGTGCACTAGTGCTGGTCAGAGGGAGATGCAGGGGTGGGCCGGACAATGAATAGCACCTTTTATTTGTTATGTGAAAGGTGTGCGGAAGAGGAGGTAGTCTTATACGGCGAATATATAACAAACTCTATATTTTGAGTGGAAATGTTGGGGGGTCATCTTATATGCCCAGTTGTCTTATACGCTGGCAAATATGGCAATTCTTCTTCTGCTACAGTTATACTTCTGAAAATGTATGTTTTTCATTCAGCTACTGTGGATGGGGCCTGGTATTCTACTTTAAAAAAAACACACAAAACCACAATTAAACTCTGCTCATGCATTTTATAAAGGACTAGGTAATTATAATAATGGTATCTTCTGTGCCTAAGATTGCATTGCTAAATTGCCTAAATTGCATTCCTAAATTAGAATAAGTGTTGCAAGACCCATCAAAATGGGCATAAATTTGCATTATGCACTTCACTGCATAGAAAGTAGTATTTTGAACAGCTCAGACTTGAGGTGACATGAAAGGATAAAAGGGGTTTGTTTATGGAGAATATATATCAATGGCTTGTTGTACTACAATGAAAATCATGATGGTGGATGGAAAGTAACCAGAGCATGCTTTTCTTACTGTTGGTTACCCATTGCTGTCTTAATTATTTCTGTATAAGAGTGTAGCAATAGATATTGTGAAACAGCCAAATTAAGAATTCCATTAGGCAACTCACAAATTAGGCGGACCCCAAACAGAAAATTAGAACTTTAAAACTGGGCTCTAGATTAGCACCAAGTTTGGCACAGATGTAACAGATGTTCTACTCTTGCTCTGTGCCAGATTTAGAGACATTTGACCGAACTATTTTGAATTATGATTTTTTAAAAATTAAAACTGATTTAATTGTGCCCCATGCAGACATTGGTGACCTTTTTTGTCTGCAGATTTAAAGCAGATCAAATACATTGAAAAGACCAAACTTGCTTACCTTGAAAGAGAATGGTTGGTCCCAGCCTCTTTTTATTATTTGGAAGGAATCCGGCCTTCAGGGTGGAAACCCCAATTTTGAAAAAAGCCAATCCATTTGAGAGACAAAAAGAAAAACTTCTGAGTTTCTGGTTTTCTTATCAGCACAAACTTGGGGGCGGGGAGAGGAAAATCTGAACTGTTGACACTGCCAGACAAGATCAAATTAATTAATCTCAGGGGAACTTAATTCTTTCCTGATCAAACTGACATTGAAA